GAAGGGGTTTGATTTATGGGAGAATCTTTTATTACACTTTTCCTCTTGAGCTGTCTATTATTTAGCATCTTGGGGGCTTTGTATGTCCTATGACACATCACAACAGTGTTGGCTCCTTTTAAATGATTTGTCTTGGCTTTCTGACCTGTCAAATTCATTTAACAACATTAGCAAATGAGGGTTCTTCATGACAGGAAGAATTGCTTTCATGATAACCATAATAAAGATGTATGCTTCCCCAGACAACAGAGAAAGAAAAACAATGCTAGGAATGCCTATAGCAAAAAGGAGTGCCTGATTATTCTCTGGAATAACAAATTGGAAATATAAAGGCTAATTCTGTAGCCTGTTTTCATTAACATTTGTGCATTTTGAATGGTTCATGTCAAATGAAACACTCTCTTATTTACCCAAGCAGTGTCACCTTCATACAATCATTATTGAAATCGGTAATACCTTTATAGATTAACTTGGAATCTTTGAATTGGGCCACTAAGATTTTTCCTTCTGTCTCCTTTTCAATGAAGGTCCACTTTTCCTATACTGAGAATGGTATACAAGTAGTTTGCAGTTACTCTGCTTCAGCACATCCCTATAAATTAATTTTTCCTTGCATTTTATTTATTTTTTTTAATAAAAGGGGAAGAGACTGGCATGCCTAAGACATTCAGAGAGTTTCATGGTTGATATGAAATCAATTAGTTCATAACTGTATAATACTACAGCAGGAAATTAAACTATTTTTAAATCATTATCATGCTCTTTAAAGGGCTGTTTGGAAAAAAGACTTAGAGTATGAAATATTAGTGGAAAACTAATTCCTTATATAGGAAATGGACATATATGTTCATACTAACATTTATAAGCTGTGGAAATACAAGTCCTCTAATTCCTCTAAATTATTGCTCATCTGTCCTATCAGCTGATGAAATCCATCTATATCATTCAACTGTATCAGTAAACTTTAGACAATAGTACTGAATAAACTAAACAATTGAGCTGCTCTAAAGTAATTGGTATTAATACAACCATCTAGTGAGAGGCATAAATCAAAGAAACTAGCATATAAATCAATAGAAATAATTTGTGGATTGAATACAATTTATTAATATATAACTTATTTTATCCCTGAAAATGGTGAGAAAGAACACAATTATACTTAATTAGTTCTTCCTATGTTTTCTGTCATACACTATGAGATCTTACTATGCACACAAATCACCTTTTTTCTAAGAATTTATGTAGCATAAAGTGTTAGGACTTTCCTGTTGGTGGGCTGAAACTCAGTTTTACTTGCAGTACATTTACTATTTCTTTCACTTTGGAGAACATCTTTCCTTTTTTAACTATTGTAATTTCTAATACATCATAATTAAAGACTGCAGGAACTAAATGGGGTGCTAATCTACATCATTAGTATTTTAAGGACTCTTTCTTTGCCACTTTTGTTGAGATCAGAACCTCAGACGTTTAATTCCAAGTGAACATTGTGGAATGAATTGAGATAATCACTTATAGCTTTTGAGGTCAAGCAGCATAAATATAGACTAGCCAGAGTATTGTTTTACTCCACTGGGTTGGATTGAATTAAGCATGGTGGGGAACCACAACTTGTAGCCACTGCTATTTCTCAGGTGTGTTTTATAAACTCATTATCTATCTATCTATCTATCTATCTATCTATCTATCTATCTATCTATCCATCCATCCATCCATCCATCCAAATCTGTCCTGTCCAGTGCATATGAACTCTGATCAAGTCATCCTATGTGAAATTATCCTGTATACCAGCCCCACTTTTGTGATTGTATTTAGGGTCTCTTGGACCATTTAAAAAAAGTACTTAAAAACAACAGGTGATGCTGCCTTTTGGGAAGGACCTTGTAAGTTAAGAGATAGAGCAAGGTGTAGCTGTTGCTGCAGAAGGCAACAGAACTTTTCAGTACTGCCTAGTACAGACGTAGCAACCCCTTAATCACCAAAGCTCTTACAAAATCAACTGAAAAATCTTTTGGCCATTGCTTTTCCCTCTCCTTCTGGCAATTTGCTTAGAATTACAATAGTAGTAAATTCTCTTAGCTATGATTTTCATATTATATACATGTTTTATTGAATGGTTCACCCACATAGAGTATTATTGTTGCTACAAATGTGTGTACACACAGAATTACTTGCAGTTTAGTGTTTTTTTCTGGTTAGTGTTCTGATAAGCTTATTGAAGATCATACTGAGGTTCAGTATTCAGGTCGGCTTCAAGCCTGAGGCAGTTAATAATGCCATATACTAGTCTTCCCCAAAATTTATATTATTATTGAACATTTTTATATTGATGAAAGACGAATATAGAAATTTGTAAAGAGGAAAAAAAAGAAAAAAAATGAAGCGAACAATATAGTTAAAGAAAAAAAGTTAATTGAAGATTATCATTCAATTCTCCTAATGTTTCTGACCTTCTTTATAGCGGTTACAAACTCATAATCTCTCTTCCCTCTTTTACACTACAATAGTCTCTTTAGCCCCTTATTCAGTCTTTTTTGAATCGTCAAATCCAGAAATCACCATTTCACTTTTTTCCATTTTCGGTAAAACATCTATAAAAGTCTTTTATAAAAGTCCTTACTATTTTATAAATTATTTCATTATAAAAATCATTATTATATAAAAGTCCCTGAGCAGACAGGTCACTTTTGCCATATCTGCTAATTTTGCTGCCTTCACAATCCATTCCTCCATTGTGGGTGTTTGAATATTTCTCTATTTTTGTACATACAGGTAGTCCTTGACTTACAATGGTTCATTTAGTGACCTTCGAAGTTACAACAGCGTGAAAAAAGGCACTTGTGGCCGTTTTTCACACTTATGATCCTTGATGCATCCCCATGGTCATGTGATCCAACTTGAGGCGCTTGGCAATTGACTCATATTTATGACGGTTGCAGTGTCTGGGGTCATATGATCATCTTTTGTGACCTTCTGACCAGCAAAGTCAATGTGGAAGGCAGATTCACTCAACAACTATGTTACTAACTTAACAACTGAAGTGATTCACTTAACAACTGTGGCAAGAAAGGTTGTAAACTGGGGCAAAATTCACTTAACAAATGTCTCACTTAGCAACAGAAATTCGGGGCTCAACTGTGGTCGTAAATCGAGGACTTCCTGTATTTAAGGGTAGTGAAATTGCTACAGTTACCATATATATAATCCCCAAAATTTAACTTGCAGCACTGGTTTAACATTAAATGAATAATACTCAGACATAATGTTTTGTATTCTTTAGCTAAATATATGATAGGAAGCTGCATCTTACAAATGAAAACTGCAGAACATCCCTTTAAAACTCATCAGGTAGCCGCATTGTGGACTAAAGCTGCTTAGAAGCATTGTGTCTGAGAAGATACAAATTTTCTGTGTATAACATTGTGTCTGTAATATCCCAGCCAGATGGATAAGATTCAGAAGTGTGTTCATAAGTGAGGAAAAATGCAGGGATTCTTGCAACAGCTATTGAAAAATGATTTCATTTCCCAACTTATTCACAGCAAGCAATTCAGAGGACAACAGATAGAGCAGGCAAAAACTAGTTGGAGACAAGGAAGTCTTTTTCACTATTATTCATGTTCATTCAAATAGCACCTGATTTCCTTCCTGTGGCCCCCTTCCTTTTCTTTAGGAGTGAAGAGAAAATGTATCACTTCATTGGCCGGCTGGCAGTTGTAACCCTCAATGTTTTTGTTAATTGCATGGTTTTTCAACATGCTGTTTTTAAAACAGCTTTACATTGGTCAAAAAAATAAGAACTGGTGGGGTGCAAGCTGATCATAATACATAATCTATGTGTTATAAACATAGATTATATATCTATATATAGAGAGTTCTGTTGAAGAAGGAGTGGTTTTGCCTTCCAAAACCAATCCTTAGTTTCCTTCTCCAGAATTACCTCTCATTTTCTCATTCTCTTAGCCATCCCCAAGCTAATGGAGTTTAGCAGGTAACTGAATTCTTTGGGTCACAAATTTTGTAGGACTCCTTAGAATCTCTCCCAGTCAGCATTCAGAGAGCATCAAAACTATCAATTTTGCTCTACCTTTTTGATCCAAGAAAACAGCAAATGGACCTCAGAAAGTCAAATGACGTTGGTGGATTCTAGGGAGAAGGTGAGAGAGATTTGTTCTGTGCGATGAGGCAGAAATTAATGGGCTGAAATGTCAAAAGATTTCTCCCCAAAATTGAATCGAGGCTAATTGAGTTTTAGGATAACTCAAGGTACATAAGAAGTAACAGATGTATCCTCATACTGATTTATATGGGTGAATAAATATTTATCATATACTAAAAAGAATTCTTGTTAACCAACCCACCTCTCTCTGATGCTTACATTTGGTCTTATAACAAATTGTTTTAAAATGTAAGAGAGGAAAAAAAATGAAAAAATGTAATAATGAAGTTTGACTACACCAATATGCAATATTTGTTATTATTCTTCAATCTTGTTTGCCAGATTTCTTACAGGATGCATTTGAAAGAAGTTGTCATACTTGAAGGTGTGCCCTTTTTATTGAAGGAATAGCTATGGCAGTTGAAGTGTGAAAAACAGAACTGCACATAATTGTGTAATGTCTGAAGCTATTTATTAAATGCTTATGCTCCCAGAAGCATAGCTTATAACGAATATTACGTATTACAGTTTGCATAACTCTGTTCATTTACTAGGAACCTTCAAACCAAAACATTATTACTAGTAGAACTCTTCCATGATGTCCTAATTAAAAACAACAACAACAATCGTAGAGCTAGGATATAATAATCAGTCTTGGGTTGTGCTGATATATGCTTTTACACCAGTATCAAAGATACCTGAAAAATAACAAATGTAGGTTTCCTCAAGATGATTTGAAAATTCCTGGACGTTCATGGTTAGGATTATTTGCTTTCCTTAACCGTTTGTGGGTAATGACTAACGAAATGTAATATTGTTCTCTTTTTTTTTTTCCTTCCAGGCCCTTCATCCAATATGAATCCTAAAGAAAAAAATCCTTGCCAAAATCAACTGTCAGCAAAGACAGGGATATCGTTTACAGCATTTGTGAACCCTGCATTCTTTTCCTAATGAAACAGACTGTTAGCGAGCCCCAGAACTTGAGGAAAGAACTGACTTATCTGGAACTGAACTCATTTTGAAGTATGCAAATTTTTCTTACTGTAGGGTGATCCACCACCAACTTGAGGATATGTTGGTTCAGCCACCATTCTGTTTCAGAACACTGTGTAGCCTTTACAGTAGTGTGCTTGTCAATCAGTATATGGCGTTCCAAAATGGTGATGGGTTGCAGGATGCTTTTAGGTTGGCTTTCGTTCTTCAGGGTTTCCCCCCAGCCCACCCTTCTTAAGGTGTGAGGGATGCTTTTTTTTTTTCCTCTCTGTGTAATCCTTTACTTGCCCCCTTCTAATGTGCCAATTCCTCATGAAAATTAAATACACAACAATAGGCTTGAATTACCAACAGCACTTGAATACCAATACAGTTTCCAGCTGTGTTAAACTGTTGCAGCAACACAAGTGACGAGTATGGTGGCACTTTAAAGACTTAGCAAATTGGATATATGACATGGATCGGGTTCTAGGATAAGATGGTAAGGGACAGCGAGGAATGGCAAACAGTAAGGGGAGAGAGAAATGCAATGCAAGAAGCACCAATGCCCTCTGCATTTTGTTTCTATCTTCAGGATAGCATTCCAGGTATGCAATGACAGAGGGTGTGGTGAAACGTTGCTCTTTAAGATGCCACTGAACTCTTTGTGGACTCCTGCAATCATTAGAGTACAACCAATCAGTTGAATTCAAGAGTTAGTTTGAAAGATAACTTAACGTTTGTATTTGCTTTGGTGTTTTTATGTGGGGATTGGCTAGCTAACTCATTAGTTCTCAACCAGTCCCTACAACTCTCCAACCAAATATTTTCCTAATCTTGTACGTCTTTCTTTTTATTTTTGGTACCAAGAGAGGGTGGATTTTACCTCACAAAATTAGCCACCACTAATGTTGCATCCTAACCAAGGTTCAGTTGGTGTGAGGGGAAAAGGGCATTTCATTGTGGGGAGAATCAGTAACTCTATCTAAATCTAGCCTAGGGTTATGTGAGCAGTTTTGCCCAAATGCTGCAGTAAATTTTTGCTTTTTTGTTTGTCCCTCTAGCTTAGCAATTGGCCAATCTGAGGTGCATTGTTTACCACTTGCCAAATATAACTACATAGAAGGCAACGGCTTGCTTTCAAATTATTACTCTTATTAATAATAACAACACAAAACCTAAAAGAAAAAAAATGAGTATATTGCATGAGAACGGAGTTTTATGTATCTGTAATATCCAAGGCTTGGATGATTTATTTCATTCATAATCATTTATTCATCTTTCTCTTCCTTATTCTTTTCCTCTTGTGATACATGGTGGAAACTGGAAAAAAGGTGGTTAGGAAGGAGACACAGAGAGGGAAAATCCATACCGAGAGCTTTTCATAGGAGCGTAGATTGTAACTGGATAAATTCCATTGAAAAACAAAGTAGTTTTTATATATTTTGCTTATAGGGATTTCTTTTTGTAAATTTATATAGTAATAATGACTGAAAGTTATGGTGCTGTGCAAGTCCTGTTTAATTACTTTTTATTGGTATTTTTCATGTGAAGGTGGGGCAAAGAAGGGAAGAAAGAAATAGGGGAAAAACCTGATGGTACGTTTTAATTTTAATTTTTTTTTTAATGGTGTGAAGACACTTTGGCTTAGGACAACATATACATATTTCTCCAAAGTGATATATGAAGAACTTTTTTTGGCATAAAAGCAGAATGCATATAAATATATAAATATATTTTATTATGTACAGAAACAGATCATTATGCATGATTGTTAAGAGAACAGACTAGCATTTTAACCCAAAGTTTCAGTGCATGAGTTTCCACCAGCACGTGAATCATGTACCTGCGTGGTGTGATTCCTCTCAGCTGCCACCTTTCACTGCGCGTGCACATGCAGGCATTCAAGCACATTCACACACACACATACATCAGTGGGCCCCGTATTGCTCTTCTTTTCCAACTTCTGAGGTAATATTGGTGAAATAACAGCTCCTTGTGTGATGAAAGTTTTGTTTTGTACTGTAGCTGCCTCCTCCTCGTGCTGCGCTATTCTCTAGGTCAACACATGAAGTCCACCATGCAGTTCATAACTTCAAATGATGACAATTCTGTGCTGTTGTGGTTCTAAATAGCTCATAGAATATACACTTTCAGACTAGTTAAATGATTTTTATCATTTTCCAAATAAATACAGACTATTTTTTTAATAATTAAGGTGGTATATTTGTCTATGGCAGGGCATAGTTTATCATGTTTCTTTAATTATATAGAACCAATGTGTGTGCTCATTCTTCACATTGGAAAGGGCTTCCCTGAAAGGAATACCTTATAAAAATGTCATCTGTTCCAGGGGCTTAAGAAAAGTATTGACTTATCTTGAGAGACTCAGTTACAGGTACCTATTACCAAAGCTAGTTAAGAATGTGCTCACATGCCTTTACTAAATATGAGTATCTGGCACATCATTATATGTGAATTAAGCCAATGATGATATTTTGGGATGTTTGTTGTTATTTTGTTCTTTGAAATGGAAATGTATTTGGTGATGGACAATTTATTTCCAAGTTTCTGTCTTGTCTTCTCAACAGAAACTCTGTGCATAAAAAAAAAATCTGGTACTGTACAAAGTTTATGGTTTCCTCTACTTTGACTGGGTTTCCTTTCAATACTTGAAAATGCAATATATCAGGAAGCTGATGCAGAAAAAGAAATAGATTCTTCATTTCTCAGCTCTTAATTTTAATCAGGTGACCAGGATGCAATGACACCAAAATGACAGCCAGTATGCAGTGACATCATCACACAAATGCCATGATTGTGTACTTGCATTTCAACATCTGACACAAGTACATAAGATGCAATCTTTCTGTGATATTGCCACAGCTATTTTGTCATCCCCCCCCCCCCGGTGATTAATGGACATAAAACAAAGTACCATATTTTTAACTTGGCCATAATTTATGCAGGTTTTAAATCATGTTGATTTCAATCAAATTCAGCACTCATCATAAATACCAGTAAGGCTTTGAGACTGTCCTGAGACGAAAGTCCTATTAAACCCAATATGACATTACAGTAAGCATGCATTAATCAGATTGCACGTTTGTAATAGTAAGCAGTTAATGGTGCTCTTGTATTGGTGGATGCTCACATATAGATTTCAATAGGAAAACCGCCATCTGCTCAGTTAGCATCTGTACTTGTTTAAATATTTTTATTTCAATCATAAAAAGCAAATTGGGGAGGGGGGAAGAACCCAAGCAAAGTGATAGCGCACGGACATTTATGTAACATGTTCCAGGTTCTGCCCTAAAGCATCCTTGGGAATATGCGGCCCATCAATGGCAAATAATATTGACCTATATAAATCCTTGGCTTAATGTAATTTAAGGCAGCTGTGACCTGAATTTTTATAGTTCCTTGAGAGATTGGGGAACAATCAGGGCATCCCAAGCACATATTAAAAGTGATGATGATGGGAACAAAGAATCCTTCGGGGGGGGGGGGAGGCAAAATTACAAACCTCTTCAGCCAAGTTTGTGGTACTACCGGCATTTTGATAACATTGGCTTCAACAGGATAAATTCAGATCCTAGGATCCCAGGGATGACAACAGCAATAAAACTGCACCTTTCTGGAAAAAAAACAACACAGTAATTTGAAATTCAGATGCTATTAGAGTCAACATGGGCAAATGTAAGCCTCATTCTATCCAGGTTTTTCCCACAAGTGTCTCAGAGGCTGTAGAAATATTTCTCAAACCATCCTCCTCCCTCTGAATTAGATTCACAACATTGGAACTAACAGGCTCTTGATTAGGCTGATTGGCAAGTAAATATTTTTCTAGAGTTGAAGACCAAGCTAGGGAACATGGTATGCTGGACTATTTTCTCAGTCATGGGAACCTTTAAGCAACTGCATGGAAATCCATCAATTTGCTCTATGTCGCTTCTTTTCCTATTGTTTGTACCTCTGCCTCTCACAATATAAATAACTCCACATTTGAGGTACTGTCCCCACCTGGGAACCCAATGGCAAATTTTTGTTCTCAAGGATACTTGCTAGCCAATAGACAGCTGCTTATAGCCTTAAGCTTTCTGTATTATCTTTTGCCAGTAGGCTGGCCACAAAATATACAGTGACTTAACCCAATTTTCTTCCCTAGTTATAAGTATGCTGTTTCTATTGGCCTAAAGGAGTCAGGTGCTAGACAAAAGCAAGCAACCAATAAATCCTCAGATACTGGTCTAGTTCAGGTATAATACTAAACCAAGGATTCGAGGCTGTGTATGGCCCACAGGTCAAATGGCAATATGTCACATATTATGAGGCTTTTATTAGAGGAAGAAAATCATCAGACAGCCCCTCAGACCAAAAAGGTTTATGCCCGTTTGCATTAAATTATGGCTTAGCGTTATGGGGATGGGCTGTCATGAACATTCCTTCCTCTTGACCAGCAGTGCAGGAGACAAAAGCTTTCACATTCAGTGTGGAATACATCATGGCTTACCATCACATTTTTAAATCCAAGAAGTCTGCGGAATTTGGTCCTTGTTTGTTTGCATAAGCATGGTGGGAATAAATCAGTTTTTAAAGTTAGGATCAGGTGGAACATCCCCATTTATTCATTTATATCTACATCATTTTTTCACACCAAATTGAAAATCGTTATTGGATAAAAACATTACAAACAATGAGGTGAAAGGTGCTTCACTCCCTCGCTTTGTACAGGAAAGAGGAGCAAGGAAAGGAGGAGTCCAGGCTCAAGGAGCAACCAACGTTCCCCTACCTGATACCTTCCAGATGTATGAGGAACAACAGCTTCCAGAACTCCCCAATCATCCAATAAACATATTGATTTGCACTGTGCTGATTTGTACAGTACAAATCAGAATTGCAGGATTAAAACAAATGTGTTTTAAACCCCAAAATTTTAAATTCAGCCATCAAACCAAATGATTTCATATTCACTGAAAGCTAATCAGTTGCTTGGGACACTTTTTACAACGAGGCTCCATCTTTTAAAAGGCAAATGTCAACCTGTAACCTCATAGTGCAGTAGTCCCAAAGCTCCACATAAATGATTTGAATTTGCAAACCATATATCATCCCAACTGTCCATCAATTAATACGTAAGGTTCACTTCTGAACATTTCTGACTACTCTGGTGCTATAAAGCACTTAAACATGAGATCACACTCTTGAGTTTCCTTTTTATGTACATAAATTAGACTCCATTATTCTAAGACGGTTGGTTGATTAGTGGGACTATCCCTGTAAAATAGAATTAAATAACTAACTCCCATCACCCTAATTTTTGAATTATGAACCCGTTAAAAATTGTGATAAGGATTGGCACAGATACACAAGCAATTTCTTTTTAGCTGCCTTCTAAATAGCTCATACCATTCTCTTTTTAAATTGCATCTTCTCTGTTTTTATTGTTGCAGGAATACTTTTTTTCTAAATTGTAAGTTAAGCAACCTGCTGCCCATTATATCTATCTTAAGGAAAAAAATGGAATAGGTTGCTTTTGAAAACAACATAACTTCTTGGCAATCAATCTCCGTTCATTACATTCTTTGCATGATGTATATCAGAAATACCAGCTGATAAGGAAGGGGACCAGATACTTGCTATCAGGAGAGATGCGGGATATATTGTACATTTTGGCTTCATGTATGAAACTTTTTTTAATTAAAAAAAAGTTGTATGAGTGGACAAAACATGTATACAGTATCTGTAAACTGTCTTGTCTGAATTATTTCTTTCACTGTTGAGCCACATACTTTTGAAGAATATATTCTATCACTGCCTTAGTACATGGCCATCTTTTACAGGGGTACACAATTTTTACTTTTTGTATGAGCTACTTTCATTTGAAAGCTGGCACTGTCATAAACTTAGAGGAGGCTTTTCTGAAACCAAATGCTGACATAGGTGAATATACTACCTTACTACATAACAATTGGATGTCAGTTTGATTTGGAAATCTTTCCCTTTTGCAAATGAAATAGTGGTGCAGAGCTTAACTCCACTTGATGTTAGTAGATATTGCCTTGTGTACTCCATTCTCAACAGTAATCTAATTTGTAAAATAAAGTGTGATGCATGTAAATAAAGCATAATGGATCTCTATGCTGAAAGTTAGACTCATTTGTCTTTTATTTAGTTTGTGTTTGTGGAAATCAGATCTCTTCAGAGAGAGAGAGAGAGAAAGAGAGAAAAATAATAATTATTGGATAGAATGCATCATTTGTTATTATAGATTAATATCATTCTCATGCTTAATCTGTGTAGTGAAAAACAAACACACTGACTGATACGGTAACTCTGTGGAAGGCACTAACCTTTTCACTACTTACAATTTGACACTTCCTGCATGTTGAAAGCAGGAGGATGACCTACTGTTTTCCATTTATATTCTTATTTTTTCTTTTTAGCCGAACTCATTTAGATTTGGATTCCAATCCCACTTTGGTTTGCTGAAGTACCATGATAATCTATATAACTCTCCCATTTCATAGACTCCTTCCCCTTGAATAAGGTAAGAATTGAAAAACTCCTTAGAAGATTTGGATGAATGAAATTAGGAAAAATGCACTGAATCTCATCTGATGGAATTGGGGCATTGAATAGAGTCCCGAAGATGTTTACTTTCAATGTTTAACCCAAAAAGTATCAAAATGATTGAGCTTCTTTTCTAGGAGATAGAAAGTAGATCTTTAGTCTATTTCTATAGTTCAAAATGTTTACTTTTGAAATAATGAAATAATGAATAATAATTAATTAATTAATTAATTAATTATAATTTTAAAATAATGAAGACTGAAACAATGTAAGTGAAACATTTAGCCTTACCACATCAGGACTTTACACATGCATCAGCTTTTCACATGCTTCAAATGGCTTCAGTAGTCTTCCATCAAGCTGTGTCCTCATGTAACTTCTGGCCTTGAGGTATGATTGACATTGACCTAACTTCACACCCAGATGGCTCAAAACACACACATATTTTTTTAAGCAACCTTCTCTCAAGATGTTTTGGATGAGACCTAAGGGATGTGAGGTTGTGTAATCAAAGTCAAAGGTGCTGAAGGAATTGTAAAAAAAAATAAAAAATTAAATTAGGGCTAATGAAAAGTTGAAAATACCCTGCAGTACCCTAAGTTGCTAGGCAAACATATTCATATTTGAATAACGTGCCATAAATATTTAAGAACATGAAGTGGGAGACCCCATCCAAATCTTACTTCTGTGTTGTAGTTCTCTACAATTTTCAGCTTCATTGATCTAGTTGTTATTATTATAATTATTATTTCAACTTCCAAACTTGTTACTCATAACTGTAAATAAAAGTATAAAGTGTTCTGAAAATGCTAAAGCAACATGGAAACACATGTGTGTTCTATCTTCCATATATTCTCAAAGAGGCAGGGGACCTTCTTGTCTTCTCCTCCCTCTGCTGCCCCAACCAAAGAGAGAGTGGAAAAAATAGGCTAACCTGAACCTTCTGTAAATTTGTGCCTATAGACTGGTATCTACCAGCACTTGTGCGCTAATAGTGGAGGGAAGGTTGTGACGTTCTGAAGAAGTTGAGAGCTCTGCTGGTGGTAGTGTATTCTATCAAAAGGATCACCCAAACCAGGCAGGTCTTAGCAGAAGAGCCAGATTAAGTGTATCCATCAACCCATTTAATATGATGAGAAAACAAAGAATCCTATACAGAATTGGTGGTCACCAATTCTCTATAGGTCAACAAGGATCATGTCAGATGTTAAGAGTTCCTGAGCATCTTTAATCAATGGGCAGTGGGGTGGTTGGGCAACCAGGGACTACCCTTATAAGATTATTGGAAGAACAACAACCACAGAAAAGACAAAATTATGCTGTGTTTGAAAATTGTGCCATTATGGTCTCTTATTATCAATAGGGTCTAACAAAGTGTGGATGCTTGAAGTAAATGTTTGAACATCGGAAAAGAATTTATCCAGACTCAAATTCATTATCAGAAATAAAATATTCAGGGATTCAGAACTGGAAGGCATTCAGAAAAATAGTGAAATTAGCAAAATGATAGTGAAAAATATTAAACATATCATGTGTTGAAACAATAGTAGAAGAAACTCAGATAACAATTGCAAATATAAAGGAAAAAACTGATATGAACTACAGAAATTATAACTTGGAAGTAGTAATAACAGAGCCAATACATGCCAGCACTGAAACAACCTGTGAACTGAGCCCCTGACAAGAAGCATTAAAAGAGAAAATTTTGACATATAGCAATAGTACTTAGACTTATATACCGCTTCACAGTGATTTACAGCCCTCTCTAAGCGGTTTACAGATTGTTGGGGGCATGTTGCCCCCAACAATCTGGGTCTTCATTTTACCCACCTCGGAAGGATGGAAGGCTGAGTTAACCTTGAGCCTGGTGAGATTTGAACTGCCAAATTGCAGGCAGCCGGCAGTCAGCAGAAGTAGCCTGCACGCTAACCACTGTGCCACCATGTAGGATTACCAGTAGAAAGAGAACTACCACATTGAAAGTAGTGCCCAAAAAAGCAAGAGTGTCATCTTCCAGGGTGACTCATTATTTACCTTACTATTTGTCATTGATGTGACCCCACTTTCAACTATTTTAAAGAAAACAAATCTTGCCTTCCAAACAGCAAAAAATGCTAACAAAATCTCACATTTGCTTTAAATGGATGATCTGAAGCTTTATAGAAAATCAGAAATCAAAATCCAGTCCCTGGGAAATACCAGTGACAAATACCAAATAAGAATTTTTAGCACAGATATAGCAAAGAAATTTGGTCTGGAGAAATATGCTACAGTAGCAATAAGCAGGATAAAATCAAACCACCTGGAGCCACCAAGATGAAGTCTACAAGTATCTGAGCATTTTACAGATGGATAACATGAAGCATGGACAAGTTAAACATGTGATAAAAATATTCCTATTTAAATAAATCATTTATATAACAACACTTACAACAGTCACACATTGTGTGGTACTGTAGTTGGCTCAGTCTAGCTCAATGAATTGTTTGAGCCCAATTGTGATTTGTAAATCATAACTGATGATTTAGGATTTCATGCAGAAATCATCTGATTGTAGCTTATTCAACATATCATGATTGAACTAGAAATGTCAGAATCCAGTCAATGTAACATCAGAACCACAGACTCGCATAGGAATATATTCTGCCACATTATGACATCCTTGACCAGCTGATAGAATCCAAATATGGTTCTGCTTCGTTGAAGGCATAGGCTTGTGTGGCTTGTTCCAGTGGCAAAAACTGATGCTTAATTCAAGCTGATCCAGTGCAGACTAGCAGTCAATCTTCATAAGGAATACCACAGACCATAATGAAAATTTCGCTTCTCTACCAAGGAAAATCCTCACATGACATCTAAGGTAATATTGTGTGACACAAGTTCTCCATTCTAGATGAAATAACCGCTGTCAACTACAATGTGGATTCAGCCAAGTTCGCACTTGACATTGCAAATACTGCTCATTAAACATCCCGTGGAAAGATGTACAGAAAGGGATGAGGTCTTCTTGTCTGCTGTGATGGTGAACCCAATAGCGTACCATCTTTGGTAGTAAAAAAAATAACTTCCATTTCTTCTCAGGTTTGTTTACCTACCAGTGCATGTCTGAATCTCATAATAAGCACATGTCTGCCACGTCACACAGGTTACTTCTATCCATGCAGAATTCTTCCCATTGATCTAATAAAACTGTATTGGATCTAATTTGCCACTTAATAAATGTACTTGAGTATTTGAGGTAGCATCAACAATAATAAAAACGTTTTCTCTTCAATTTATAACATAAAATAGTTTTAATTTGTTTTATTACTTTCATGTGGGAGGGAGGGAGGAGGGAGGGAGGGAGGGAGGGAGGAAGGAAGGAAGGAAGGAAGGAAGGAAGGAAGGAAGGAAGGAAGGAAGGAAGGAAAAAAAGACAAAACTGAGAACAAATTACACAAAGGAAATCATTTGGGCAATTTTTAACACATCACCAAAACTTGAACCCACAAAATAATAATGCTCCATCTTTCAATGACATCAATAGAAAGGCCATCAATAAGCCAAGAGCAAACATTCAAATCTATAAATTTTGGGCTGTGGTATTTTTCCAATGCAGAAAAGAAATCTTTCTTTCTGCCCCTCCTGCTGGATAAATCCTTCATTCTACATATTGTGAATGCTGGTTATCTAATTCAAAAATACATTTACAATTTTTAACAGTGCTTATGTTTGAAACGTTGTATTAAGAAATATGTGAATATTACACTACAATGAGGAAATAGTGAGACCAGCCCATGTGGAATTTGTATTCCCTTCCAGGCAGTGGTGGGTTGTTACTGGTTTGCCCCGGTTCGGGCGAACCAGTAGCAGCGGCAGCAGGAGGCCCCACCCACCCGCCTGGACGTCATCAAATACGATATGTGCATGCGCAGAAGCTTCTGCACATGTGCAGAAGTGGTGCATGCAAGCAAGTGCAAAGCGAACTGGTAGCAAAGGTAAGTGAAACTCACCCCTGCTTCCAGCAGAATAAAGTTGACAGCCACTCCTTTCAAACATTTCGTGAGATGTCTAGAAAACATGAGAAATCATCTTTTATTGAGTCAATCCCATCTTAAAATTATAAGGCACAAACCACAATAAGAAAATATTAAAACCTTTCACCATTGATTTGTTAATATGGGAAAGCATCATTCTTTATTCCAAATTCTTGCAAATAACAAATGTTCACCTTAGCAATACTCTTACGGTTTGTTTTGAAATGTTTGGAATAATCCAAAGCACATTTTAATGTTGATAGTAATTCAGGAGTTCCAAAGATTGTTGCTGCATTTGATCAAATTGTGAAAGGAAGAAATATTCTAATTAAATATCCTGTCATTTTGCAATTTTATGCAATCCAAGTTCCTCTTGCAATAACTTGGATGGTATAAAAAAGTCAATTGGGAATAAGATGACTAAAATATTAATACCTCTACTTGATTTTTCTGTTTAATAAAAAGGCCCACCTGCAGTTTTTAAGTTGAATGTAAAAGTTCCTCTTAGACTTATAACATTCAAGCAACCATTCTGTAAATAATGTGCTACTGTAGACTTCCAGAAAAATCCTAATATTTTACCAATCTGCATAAAATGAGTTAATGTTATTAGCCTAAGCATACCAATCCTGCAATACTACAGTTATATTCATATTAATAACATTTATGGCTCCCTATAAACTCAGTGGGATTTTTAACCATCTACCGTATTTTTCAGAGTATAAGACACACCTTTTCCACCCCAAAAAGAGGGTGAAAATCTGGGTGCGTCTTATACTCTGAATGTAGCCCAGCCTCACAAACGGAGATTTCAGAGGCTGAAAGAAGCCTCAGAAACGAAGTTTCAGAAAAAAAGCCTCTGAAAGGCTTTTATCTAAAATAATATGGTAAGCAACAAAAGAAGAATCAGTAAAGGTTCTAAGCAAGCTATGTTAACAAATCTGGAGAATGACACAATAACCATCAGATCGGAAGAGGTTAATCTACATACCAATAACAAAGAAAGGAGATTGAACAGAGTACAGATAGTCCTTCAGAAAAAAGGACTGAAGGAAGCTTCAGAAAAAAAGCCTTTTTTTTCTGAAGCTCTGTTTTGGAGGCTTTCAGAGGCAGAAAAAAAAGCAAGGCACAATGCTCACAACCAAGGAACCTGTTGCTAAAATTCACCTCTGGAGACAGCTGATTGGGGGTATTCTGGGAGGCCGATCCACTCACCAATCAGCTTTTGTCTTATTTTCCTGCCCAAAAACTAAGGTGAGTCTTATACTCTGGTGTGTTTTATACTCCGAAAAATACGATATTTATGTCCATTTTAATCTGAAATTTAAAAGTTTATGTATTTACATTTATGTATGTTTATGTATTCAAAAATGAGGAAAAATACCCTGGAATTACTTTTCTCAGATAATTAAAATAATCCAAGCAACAACAACTGAATCCCCAATTACTATAAATTTAATAGCAATATTTAAGACCACAGGCTTGAGTTTATAATTTGGCCTACCCCAGTTACTCTAATAACCCAATAAATTATGAAACTGTTGTATAATATCAATACTTAATTATCAAAACACATAGTCTATGTTCAACAAATAATATTTCTGTTAAACTCCAGTTTTACATTTCTGAAATATTTTCTGATATTTAAAACGTAAATCAATGTTTTCCATATCAAATTAATAATAAAAGATACCAGGATATCCTTGACTAGTTTCACAAAATATCTTAAGAGAAGGAAAGATAATTATATTTATAATTATTATAGCAAAAGGAATAGGGTGCCACCAATTAATAAAAAGGAGGAAATCCACATTTATATCAAAATAAATAAAATCAAAATCCACATTTTATTGTACTATATCAAAGGCTTTTTCTGCATCCAAAATCACTAGTGAATTCCTATTTTTTTAACATGTATATGCAAAGTGTCACATTGTAATCTAACAATATCAGATGTTTGTAATCTTTTATAGAATGAGTTTATGCAGAAGGGATAATATCTGTAATCTACATAACAGGGACATCAATTACGTTGCACCAATGTACATATAATAAAGAAATTGAATGATAGCTTGCATAGTCAGCAGGGTTATTACCAGTCTTCAAAATCACAATTATATAAGCGTCACTGAAGGAGGTTGGAAAAGAATTATGAAGATGACAGTTCTAAACCTCCAATGTAATATTTAACCTATTAAACATTGTGGACTTAAATCTGGTCCTTATCCAAATTACATGCAACAAAATATTTTTTTTCAGAATTTTGCTAGCAGTTGTGAAGATTAAATCAGTTTCAAGATCCATAAACTCTGTGTTGTGGCCTCCTTCTTCCAATATTATGTGATATAACCATCAGTTCAACATATGTCACATTCAACATGTCACATCATACTCAGTGACATAACCATCCAGACTGTGAGCATCTCCTGTTTGCATAGATGTTACATTGTTTTAATTCAAAGACATGACGATACATCAGTAGAGCTTGATCATGCCTAATTTTAGGAACAGCAAGATTATATACCGATGTATTAATTTCTTCCCCAGTTACCTTTGACTTTGTGTTACACTGTTAAGCCTATGCATTTATTGCATCAGAACCATTATATATTTTACTTGGTCATAACTAGTAGTATGATTTGCAATTGTTTCAGCTGAAAAGTTAGTAATTTACCATATTTTTCACTTCACTCCCAGTGTCTGTTTTTTTGCAGTTCAAGAAATATTCTGTTTCAAGTGCGTAAAGGGAATTAAATTTCCATTCAGCCTTCATAAACCTTTATATAATTCTGGTGCAGGTCATCTTTCAAGCATGGGCCAAAGTTCCTTAACCATTTCCTCCATTGTTTTGTACTTAATCTTTTGATTCTCCATGAGGGATAACCAATAATATCACGTATGTCTGCCTGTGAGGCATCTCAAGAGGTCAGCATTCATGGCAAGTTGGCCCCTCGGTTTTCTAAAGATGAACTCCGTCAGCTACAGACTTGTGGTTTAGTGATTCATGAGTTCACTTGAGGACTTTGACTTCTCTTGTCTGCAAGTGACAATGCTAATCTTTTGTGCATTTTTAGCCCCCTGTGTTTCCTCATTGCCATGTAATGTTTGAAGAAGGAGGCTGCGACACAGAGTATGTGGGTCTTGGAGCTGATTTAATCTTCTCAACCGCCAACAAATTTCTGAAAAATGATTTCGTTACGTATATTTTGGATAAGGACCAGAGTTAAATCCACAAGCAATTTAAGCCTGCATATTTTGATTTCAGATTATCCCGGTTATAATACAAAAACTAGTTATACCACAATGCTTGGACAGAAGCCAGTTTTACACCCATTTACGTCAATGGAACTAATGTGATTTAAATCTAGACATTCCAGTATAATTAGGTTTGTGAATCAGGTTGTTACGCAGAGATGTCAATGACAAAAAATATCTCAGCCCAAATATTTTAACTCAGCCAGTTCATTAACTCAATTGTCCAAGCTTAAAATTCTGTGTTGATTGTTTCAAGCAAAAACAGGAAAATAATCCAAAACTTTCTTGTCTTCTCTACTGTGCATAAAAATGAATAATTATTCCTGTGATCTACTTGGAGTGATTAGGCTGCATCGCTTTTTAAAAAATGTAGCCAGGTCAATCTAATTGCTGAGGATCAAGATTAATTCCTTCCAAAATAGTTTGGTTTGACCTTCTTCCATTTGCTTATTAATTTTGTCATTAATAACTCACCTTGATGGGCATGTGAAGACAGGAAACACTAGAGCACACTTCTGCATGTTTTATATTGATCAAACCAAGCCCAGGCAACGTCAGCAGCAAAATGAATTAACCCCAGTAAAGAGAAAATGCAACTGCCCTGACAGGTTCTCCCACAACATGTATCTTCAGCTGTCTATCCTGTGAACTGACAAAGTTCATACAGATGTGAGGAGAGCAGCATAATCTAGACGTCACCTTCAAACATTTCATATCATGAAGGAAACCAGGGCACAGAGCTGTGATAAAGAAGTTACACATTCAATTGGCAGTGGTATGAGAATTAATGAAATAAAGAATTGCCTATCCTTTCACAAAAAATGGTCAGCAAGAAACACTTGAGATGTTTTAGGCAAAGACCTTGGGCTTCAGTGATTTCAGATCTGACAATAATTTGTGCCTATTTTCTGGTAAAAGTTTAAAAAAATGACTTGGTGATTTGATGACAATAAACTACCTTACCTTTGTGAATAAGTGGGAAGCATGGTAGTCATTGGTGAACTGGCTCTTAGTAGGACACGTCCATGAGTATGACAACAGCATTAATGTCTGCCCCATTGACAAGAAAGTCAACAGACACTCAACCATAGCTTGTTAAGTCTCTTGTAATTCAATTCTGCTGTACCCTCATCCAAGGCACAACATACATAGATAAGAAAGACCTCTGCAAATGGTTGGGTTGCTCTTTTTTAAACATGAAGATGCAAGCCCTTTGTATACCTGTGGTCATTATGTTAGTGTTTCTTTTCCTGCCCTTTCTGTATTGAATAGCCATTTTGTCTTGAAGCTAGGTGATTTTGCTTGCTGACCAAACTGACATGTCTATCCAGAGAAACACTGGCTATTGACTACAAACAGAAATCAATGATCACAAGCTCTCTGAGTTGACTGAATTTCCACCTTGTGAACAGCCGCTCTTTTTGCCAGAGCCAGATTTTGGTATCTATTGAAGGGACAGTAGTATTTTCAATGAAAAAACACCAAGTACCACACAACTAATCCTAAGGAGCCATGGTGGTACAGTGGTTAGAATGCAGTATTGTAGGCAAACTCTTCCCACAGCCGCAAGCTCGATCCTGACGGGGCTCAAGGTTGACTCAGCCTTTCATCCTTCCGAAGTCAGTAAAGTGAGGACCCAGGTTGTTGGGAGCAATGTGCTGAGTTTGTAAATTGCTCAGAGGATTCTGTAAAGCCACTGTGGAGTGCTATATAAGTCTAAGTTCTATGGCTTTATGAGCTCAGCCCAACTCTAAAAATCAAATGGAAAGTGCTCCAAATGATGCTTGAGGCTGAATGAAGCAACATGGGTTAACCAACACTGAATCTCAGGTATGAGCCGTAAACATAACCTGCAAGTAGAAAGAATATGGAAGTCTTTAAGCTAATGTGGCTTCTGCTAATTAAATAATAAAATCAGAACCACTGACTTCATTCAGGTAAGTGCTTGATTTCTTTATATCAAAATAGAGTACTGATTAATGTACATGTCTCAACCTACCCTGTTCTTCATATGTTATCTGGAATTCCCATCATCCCCAGCCAGGTTGGCCAAGAGCTCCTTTCCATGCACATCCATGAGAGGGCATCATGACATCAAAGTGACGACATGCACATCATGATATCATATATGTTCATCTAATTTGCCTCAGTTGTGTCATATGAGATGACTGAGGCTAATTACATCATTTCATTATTGTACAAGGATGACAGATCATGGTTATAATCAATTCTCCCCACAAGTACCTATGCCCCCTCTCCCGTACACTCATACATTGATCTGATTCTGATAGTGCAAAGGGAAAGAGGTTATGTTTACACATGTATCATATGTTAATGGAGCCATGCTTGAAGAGCTCTATTAGGTGTGGGGGGTTAGTTTTTACACAACACACTGAAGAGAAACTAACTATATGGAATGCATTCAGACAACACACTAAGCTAAAAGTGTGGTTGGTGGTTTGGTAAGTCCTGAAAATCCAATGTAAAAATGTTGTGGTTGTATGAAAGATGAATAGTTGTTAGGCTTTTGTGCTCCAGCCTATACACAATTATTTTTGTTCAAAGCAGCTAAGTTTGTTTCAATACCTCTGGCAAGGAAACAAGCTTTTCCAGTGAAAGAAGACCATGTGAACAAAACATAATAGTCCAGAAGTCCATAGAAAATGGTCTAGGACAGGGGTCTCCAACCTTAGCAACTTTAAGCCTGGAGGACTTCAACTCCCAGAATTCCCCAGCCAGCTGGCTGGGGAATTCTGGGAGTTGAAGTCCTCCAGGCTTAAAGTTGCCAAGGTTGGAAACTCCTGGTCTAGGAGGCTGTTGAAAGTGAAGACAATACCACTTGCAATGCCGCATAATTCCCAAAGATTCAGATGTCAGTTGGAGAGCAAGAAAAACATTCCTAAGAGTGAGAGATGATCAGCAACGGAACACACTGCCTCAGGAGATGGTGAGTTACTGGAGATATTTAAATGTCTGTTGGGCATGCTTTAGGAGTGGTTTCCTGTGCAACAGGGCAAGCAGTTAGATTAAATAATCTCCTTCAATCCTAGAGTTTAGGGTCAATTTTATATTTGCAGAATCTTTGTAAAAGTCTGATCTCATCCTGCTTTCTATCCTGCTCATGAGAGCAGCAACAGAACAAGAGTTAGTCTTGTTGGGGGACACTGTCAATCTCCACAGTGTCCCATTTAATGGAATCCTGGACCATTAAAGAAGAAACTTATCCCCCCAATAGAAAAGAAGCGGGATTGGAATTCAGGTCTACCATCAGTCTTGCAGTGGATCCTTTATAGCTACATCAGAGCCAAATCGGATTTTTCTCTGAAAATGAGCTCATTTCGCCAATCCCCCGATTCAGATGCTCCTGATTGGCCCACGTTAATTCCCATCTATTGTTCACAATGGGATTTAAGGGAAGACAACAGAAAAAGCAGGGAGAGTGGTAATTGTTGCTCATTGCTTCTTCTTTTTGTCCTACCAGGATTTTGCCATGCAGTGTTGGAATGGTCCATATTAATCTTGGCTTGCTCTGCTCAGGGTGTGCATCTGTTTTTGGTCATATATGTGCTTAGGTGATATACTGTATGGCTAAGCGCACATTTCCTCTCTTTGAAACTAAACCTGTTTGAGTACACAGAATCTTTTAAAAAGAAGTTGTGGTAAATATAGACAAATAGAATCTTAACAACTTTACATTGTAAATAAAACAGCCAGGCAGGGCATGTGAAAAAGAAAATATCCAGAAAAGGAAAGAAAAATAAACCAAGGCTATTCTTACACCAATTAGTGACTATTTTACACAGTAGATGTTAGGACAAACTGGGCTCAAAAGTCTTCATTCTGTTCATTCCAGATTTCTCACGTTATCCTCCAAGCTCTTAACCTCATTTTCCCTCCTCCTCTTGCTCGCCTCCTTTGCTCTCGCTCTCTTTTCACCGTAATCTTTTAAATAGTGCCTCATCAGCAAATCTGCTGTTCCAAACCTGCCTTGCCAAGAGGCCGCTTGTCTTTGCGGTGTTTGAACTCGCTGGGAGAACAAGTACTCCTTGCACGTGGCCCACAGGCTCTTCTGCAAAAGAGGAAAGAAGGGATCCCTTTTCACCAGGCCAATCCCATCAGGATTACCTTCTTCTTCTTCTTTTTAAATACATTTTATTAATTTCCTATTTATTACATTTCTTAGTGCTTAATAAACATGGTGTTGTCTGGGTATTCAGATTGCTTAGCAATACCAATTCCCTTCTTACTCTCCACTCCTTTTTTCCAACCATTGGCAAAAGAAGTTCCATGTTTGATAATATCCTGTGTCTTCTTTCTGTTTGATTTTCAATGTAAGTCTATCCATTTCTGCACAATATAATATCTTTTTAATTATCTCTTCATCTTGCGGTATTTCTACCTTCTGAAGGTTTGGTGTCAAAAACGTCACGAGACACACAACATACCCAAACACATCATGCAAGCACACCAGATATCTGACACTGGACATACCTTCCTCAAACCCTCAAGACCAGGAATGAAATCCAGCAGGTTCTGACAGGTTCTGGAGAACCGGTAGCGAAAATTTTGAGCAGTTTGGAGAACCGGCAAATACCACCTCTGGCTGGCCCCAGAGTGGGGAGGGAATGGGAATTTTGCAGTATTCTTCCCCTGGAGTGGGGTGGGAATGGAGTTTTTGCAATATCCTTCCCCCAGGAGTGGGGAGGGAATGGGAATTTTGCAATATCCTTCCCCTGGAGTGGGGTGGAAATGGAGTTTTTGCAACATCCTTCCCCCAAGAGTGGGGAAGGAATGGGGATTTTGTAGTATCCCTCCCTTGGAGTGGTGTGGGAATGGAGATTTTGCAGTATCCTTTCCCTGCCACGCCCACCAAGCCACGCCCATCAAGTCACACCACACCCACCAAGCCACACCCACAGAACCGGTAGTAAAACAATTTGGATTTCACCACTGCTCAAGGCTAATTATTGATTTTTCTTTTCTTTCCACAGCCTTCCCTGTCACTGTCCTTACATGACCTTAAAAGCTGGTACAAAAGAGATGACCTGCTGCCCCCTATCTCTGCGTCTTTAGGCTCATGACTGCGAGTTGTTCAAGAAGAGAATGAAAGAAAACTGAGGACTCTGTATCACCTGTCCAATTTTAGCTATGGGCTTCATTTTCATTTGGCGACACACCTGAATGTTTGAATAAACGTATTTTTCTCCTTTGCTTCTCCTGCACAAAGCATCCATTACAACGATGGTTGTTTTTTTCTAGTTATTCATGAAGTGGTCTTTTTCTCCAATTATTTGGGTATTGTATAAATGTAAGAGTGTGTGTAGGCATGTGTCTATGCACGTGTGTGTAAGCATATGGAAGCAATTATCTTGTACTTAGACAAGAATTATTTTTCTTCCTGCCTCTTGTTCTTTGCTGTTCATTTAATGAAAGTGGTACAAGGCAGGAGGAACCCAATAACCTGATTTTTGAACTGAAGTCTGCAAATGGTTTGTGTAAGGTTTGGAAAGGTTGTCATCCATTCGATCCGGTTCTGCGCAAGACTTAGGTAATTCACAGAAAGCACAAACGAGACCTATATTTGTAGGGTGTGGGTGTGGGTGTAAAAAATAGACTCCTTGCACATAGAAGCACTGCACTGACAAGATTGGAGCTGTGTCCTTCTGTCCCAACTGTACCATCGGGCTTACCAAGGCTTAAGAAACTGAGCCAATTAATTTAACTGTTGGCTCAGCTCCTGCTCCAACTGAATGCCGCAAAGACAGTTTTGCAAAGGTAGTTGTAGAGCCTAGCATTTTAATTAGTGGGAAGTCTTTCCACATCTTTTTGTCCAGCTCCTGGGATTTTCTTCCTCCCTCTTATAGTCAAGGCAATGTGGCATCTAGCCATCATCCTTCCATCCTTCGTACTTGGATTAAGGGACATCTTTGCTACATGCTCAATTCTACATAGCTCAAGTTCTCTTCCATCTGTGCTTCCTTTAGAAAAAGAAAAACCACATGGGAAAAGACAAACAAAAGTGTTGGGGAAGGTCAATTCCCCCTCCCAATTTTGCATTGGTCAGTTGATGACCCACTGGCTGGCTAGAAAATAGCAGTGAAGATACCGGCATAGTAATGCAAAACTTATGCCAAACATCTGAGGAATAATATGAGTGGCTATGTAGAAATGCTCTTCAATCCATCCTTGAGGGTTGGCAGGAGAAAAGGAAAGGCCTGTGTTTAATCCTGGCTCTTTGTAAATGACCATGAATCTGGAAATTCTTTGAGAAATCAATTCAGTGGAATTGAAAAAAAAACTTGAAGATATCTGACGCCTTTTTGACAGCTATTGGTCTGGTAAAAATGCTAATGTATTGGGCCCTAGCAAAGAGGCTGGTTTGTGACCAGACCAGGACCACATTCCAGAACATTCATGAAAAAGGTGGCGTGGGTGTATGTGTGTTGCCTGACACAAAGCAGCCCAGCCCATCCTTTGGGTGTGGTTGCTATCTGCCTCTGACGTACTTATTCCAACTAAGAAGTGTTGACCACAGATGGTATCAGTTTCTTCCTGCTACCTAACAAAATCAATCTCTTCGCCATCCTGTCCAGCCACCTTTCCCCCCCCTCTTCCAACTAGCCCACAATTCCAGGAAGGAAAAAGGCAATGTCAATTGGCATCAGGGGCAAATGCTTGGATCACAGACAATGGCATCTTCATTCCGTATACAAGCAGGGAAAGATGCCTTCAGAATCAGCTTCTCCTTTGTTTGCTCAAATTAATGACTGATTTTGGACAACAATCCAACCTACATCTCATCCTCCTAATTAGGACATGGCAAATCCATAGCTGAGTTCCTCCCATTCAGTCTCCGCCCCCCCCCCCACCGGTTTTGAGTCTTTCTTCCTCCTCAAGTTAGAGAAGAGGAAGACCCACCTAACAGACCTGGTTTTTTGGGTCTAGGACAATTTGCCATAGCCAACTCGTCATAGCCAACTCAGTGGAGAACTCCTGCCGGTTCTGTCCGGCTCACACGAAGCAATAGCACCGGGGGCCCATGGTTCGGTGAACCGGTAGTTGCGGCAGTGCGAGGCTCCACCCACCCAGATGTCGTTACTTCCTAGTTTTTAACTTTCTGTGTATGCGCAAAGCCTTATGCGCATGCACAGAGGGTAAAAAATCGGACGTGATGATGGCGCGCTCCAAACTGGTAGGGAAGGTAAGTAGATTTCACCCCTGATCCAACTTGCCATGGCAAACTCACCACAGCCAACTTGCCATGGCAAACCTCACCACAGCCAACTTGCCATGGCAAACTCACCACAGCCAGCCTGCCATGACAAACTCACCACAGCCAGCCTGCCATGGCAAACTCACCACGGCCAGCCTGCCATGGCAAACTCACCACGGCCAACCTGCCATGGCAAACTCACCACAGCCAGCCTGCCATGGCAAACTCACCACAGCCAGCCTGCCATGACAAACTCACCACAGCCAGCCTGCCATGGCAAACTCACCATGGCCAACTTGCCATGGCAAACTCACCACAGCCAGCCTGCCATGGCAAACTCACCACAGCCAGCCTACCATGGCAAACTCACCACGGCCAACTTGCCATGGCAAACTCACCACAGCCAGCCTGCCATGGCAAACTCACCACAGCCAGCCTGCCATGACAAACTCACCACAGCCAGCCTGCCATGGCAAACTCACCATGGCCAACTTGCCATGGCAAACTCACCACAGCCAGCCTGCCATGGCAAACTCACCACAGCCAGCCTACCATGGCAAACTCACCACAGCCAACTTGCCATGGCAAACTCACCACAGCCAACTTGCCATGGCAAACTCACCACAGCCAGCCTGCCATACAAACTCACCACAGCCAGCCTGCCATGGCAAACTCACCATGGCCAATTTGCTGGCCAACTTGCTATAGTCAACTCACCGCAGGACAACTCTCTGCAGGACAAAAGTTACATAATATTGAAGAAATAGTGGAATAGAATCATTAAAGAAAGGATGCAAAAGGAGGGACAAATGAAATGTGAAGGACAAAAAATTAAAATAATTTGTAAATTATTTTAAATAATTAAATTGAATTGCTGAATTGTCCTGTGGCGAGTTGGCCCTGTGTCTTTTCAACCTTGGAACCATGACCTGAGTAGAAGATTGGGATCCCTGGAAAGGGTGGTGGAAAGGCCACCTATTTCCCTTATCACAGAAATCTGTTGAATCAAAGTAAGTTTATTGGTATCTGAAGAAATGATCGGATAGGTAGTGACCACTATTGGCTGCATTCAATATCTAGAATTGTCCCTATAGTTCCCATTGCTGGCTTTTGAACTAGAAATCAAAGTGGCATTACTATTGGTTGTAAAAGTGTCAATCTCCTGTCATTTTATACTGACAGATTAACCATCGTATTTTGAACAAGGGCAAAATGGACTTTTTGTATAAAGATTAAAAAAGGGGGGAAAAATAAATTTGTGATTTTTGGTTTTTCTGATTTGATAGGATAGAGATTATAGAAAGAAGAGTAATATGACAAGTTAATATATATGCTAGGTTAAAATATACAGTATTTATATTCATAACTGCTGTGAAGCCACTATTTTATATCTTTTTTCTTTCTTTTCTAGTTTTCTACAACTTTTTTCTTTTTTTGTACTCTACTTTTATATTCTTTTTCTTTTTTTGTTCCTTATTTTATATATTAATATGTTACTTTTATCTTCTTGTAGAAAAGTTTCAATAAAACTAATATATAAACAAAATTAAAGTAGCAAGTGAGTAATAAAAAAAAAAAGGAATGAAGTTATTCATTGCACCAGAGCCAGCAATAAAGTAATAAAAACAAATTCCCTAAAAGGCCCAGACTTTTAGAACTGGAATCAGGTAATTTCTTCTTGGGTGAATAATGACTGTAGGAGTCGTAGTAAACCTCATTTATTAGTCAATTGACCACATCAAAACAATGGGTGTCAACCACAATAAGCAACAATAAAATAAGGTAAGATATGGTAAAATAAGATAAAATAAAATAAGGTAAGACAAAATAAAATAAAGATAAAAGAATGAGATAACATAGTGTAAAATAAAATAGTCTATATGTGTTTGTTCCCTGTTCCTTTCTTAACCTCTAGAATCTTATAATAGAGCATTTAGTTTTTGTTCTTTTAATACTGAGAAACTGATTCGTTCAGGACTGACAAAATCTGATCGATTCAGAAGTGTAAATCCCACTAGATACTTTTTTAAAAAAAATCTCCTATACTACATAGAAAGAACGCTAATATGTGTTTCTTCTAAAAGATGGGCAGCAAAAATCAGAGGTAAAACGTTTATAATGATGGGAGTAAGACAATCTGTTGTTATGATCCCAATATATGGGTCTGTCAAGTAGTGTTGGTAAAGACTGAGTTCTTTCTGGAGCATGTAATTCACAGTTATTTCTGTTTCTGGTGGTCCATAAACACACGTTCTCTCATAATATGGCACTTCATGGAATTGTCTATATTTAAACATAGAACTTAGCTTCTCAAATCTTGCTTTGGTAAAGACTATCTAATGGGAATTTATGGTAACTCATTGCCAGGTATTTTTCTGTTTGAAGACATTTTATTCTTGGCTAACTATTTCAACAATCTGATGTTTGCAAGTGACTCAATATTGGTTTGGATGTTAATGTCCAAAACTTTTTATTTGAATATTTCCTTGGCCTGAAGTCCAGCTGAGAGTAGATTGAGAAGCCAAGCTGCATTCAGAAGCCAAGCTGTGAGCTGCGAGATGATTTGGAGACTTTGATGCATCCAAGTGGTGTGTTGAAGTGTCCCCATCTGTTCTTCAAAGCTAATTTTTGGTAGTTTGTCAGGTTCTATTGGAGAATCATCCAACACTAGTTAAAGATTTTGATTACTGTTAGACAATAAATGGAGTGGTGGCCTATTTTAGTGTATTCCTGTTGATCTCCAGAATAAAACTTAAAAAATGTGTTTGATTTTGTTCAAGTAGGCGAGCCTTTGATAGGGCCCACAATTGTACACCATAAATTAGCAATTATATGATTTTTGCCTTGTGGATCTTTAAAATGGGAGGGGGGAGTGCTTGGGTAGTTATAACTGAGTAATTTAGTTAGCATTTTAGAACTTGATGTGGTCTTTATTGAACTTCATTTGAAGTGTTAGCCCCAGGCCTTGTGTTTGTAAAAAATGACTCCTAAATATGAGAAAGGCACTGTTCTATAGGCTTCTCTTT